ACCGGGCGAGGCGAGGCGAGGCCGGCGGGCGGGGAGGGCGCGTCCCGCCCCACACACACCCTCCGGTCACCGTCGGTAACGCTGGTCGCTGTCTTGCAGGAGAACGGCCACTTGAAGGTGAACGGCGACGCCTCCCCCGCAGCGGCGGAGGCGGGCAAGGAGGAGGTGCAGGCGAACGGCAGCGCGCCCGCCGAGGAGACGGGCAAGGAGGAGGCGGCCTCGTCGGAGCCCGCCTCCGAGAAGGAGGCGGGAGAGGCGGAGAGCACCGAGCCGGCCTCTCCGGCGGAGGGCGAGTCCTCCCCCAAGACTGAGGAGGGCGCGACCCCCTCGTCCAGCAGCGAGACCCCGAAAAAAAAAAAGAAGCGCTTTTCCTTCAAGAAGTCCTTTAAGCTCAGCGGCTTCTCCTTCAAGAAGAACAAGAAGGAGGCCGGCGAGGGGGGCGAGGGCGAGGGCGCCGCCGCCGCCGCGGAGGGCGGGAAGGAGGAGGCGGCGGCCCCCGAGGCGGCGGGCAGCGAGGAGGGCAAGGCGGCCGCCGAGGAGCCGTGCGCGGCCGGCAGCGCCGAGCCGGCCAAGGAGGAGGCGGGGGACTCGCAGGAGGCCAAATCGGACGAGGTCGCCCCCGAGAAGGCGGCGGGAGAAGAGGCCCCGGCGGCGGCGGAGGAGCAGCAGCAGCAGCAGGCGCAGCAGCCGCAGCAGGCAGCGGAGGGGAAGGCGAAGGCGGCGGAGGAGGCGGCGGGCGCCGGCGCCGCCACGAGCGAGGCGGGCAGCGGCGAGCAGGAGGCGGCCCCCGCGGAGGAGCCGGCGCGGCAGGAGCCCCCCGCCGAGAGCAGTCCCGAGGGACCCGCCGCCGAGTCGGCGGAGTAGTAAGCGCCGCCGCCGCCCCTCGCCGACGGACTTTTCTTCCCCCCTGTTTGTTTGTTGGAGTGGTGCCAGGTACTGGTCTCGGAGAACTTGTCTACAACCAGGGATTGATTTAAAAGATGTCTCGTTTCTTTTTTTTCTCTCCCCCCGCAGCTCCCATCTCAAATCGTTGTGTGTTGCCGCCATTCCAACGGGCGGAGGGGGGCCCCCCTCCGCCCTCCTCTCCCACCCTCTATATTTTGGGGTTTTGTTTTTTGTTTTTTTTTTCATCAGTATTAACATTTTGTTTTGGTTGGTTCGGGTTTTTTTTTTCTTTTTTTAAAATTTTTTCTTGTTTTGTTTTGTTTGTTTGTTTTAATTTCATGCTTTGCAACTCTCTTCATATTATAAAACTTTTGCCGATCGGTCTATGGACATGCCCATATATGAAGGAGATGGGTGGGTCAATAAGGGATATCAAATGAAGTGACAGGGGCCGCAGTGGGGAACCCGGGCCGCGCAGCCCTTGCCGGGAGCGCGCCCCGTCAGAAATGATGTAAGGGGTTAGTCTTTTTTTTAAAAGAAAGTTATTACGATGTATTTTGTGAGGCAGATGTTCTATAAGGTTTACAACACTACAAGTCTTGATTAAGAAGGAAAGGAAAAAGGAAAAAAAATAAAAAATAAAAATCAATACCCAGATAAAGAGATCATAGTCTTAGGAATTCATTTAAACCATAGGAACTTTTCACTTATCTCATGTTAGCTGTATCAGTCAGTGATTAAGTAGAAATACAAGTTGTATAGGCTTTATTGTTTATTGCTGGTTTATGACCTTAATAAAGTGTAATTATGTATTACCAGCAGGGTGTTTTTAACTGTGACTATTGTATAAAAAAACAAATCTTGATATCCAGAAGCACATGAAGTTTGCAACTCTTTCCACCCTGCCCATTTTTGTAAAACTGCAGTCATCTTGGACCTTTTAAACACAAATTTTAAACTCAACCAAGCTGTGATAAGTGGAATGGTTACTGTTTATACTGTGGTATGTTTTTGATTACAGCAGACAATGCTTTCTTTTCCAGTTGTCTTTGAAAATAAAGGAAAACTCTTCAGATGCAATGTTTTTTTTTGTGTAGCATCTTGTCTATCATGTTTTTGTAAATACTGGAGAAGCTTTGACCAATTTGACTTAGAGATGGAATGTAACTTTGCTTACAAAAATTGCTATTAAACTCCTGCTTAAGGTGTTCTAATTTTCTGTGAGCACACTAAAAGCGAAAAATAAATGTGAATAAAATGTATAATTTGGTTGTCTTTCTTTTATGGATACTCTGGTAGCTTAAAGGGACTAGCCAGTATTGCCTAAATTTGTAGAAAGTCGTGTGTGCTGTTAGCACTAGCTTTGAAAACTTCCTGAATCCTAGACTCTCTAATACTGTGCATCTTACAGAGAAACTGTGCAGTGCACCAGGTAATTTGTAGGCTTTTCTGGCTTTAAAAAGAGGTGTGGAAGGCAATCTGAGCATGTACAGTATATGTTTCTCCTGTCCAGGGTCCATCTTGCTTTTAAGACCAGAGGTATCCAGCATATGAGAGTCTTGCCTCTTGAGGAAAATAAGATTTAATTTGAATTGCTTAGGGTGGGGCAATGAAATTTTTATGCCGAGTTGCTTAAAAATTAAGCTCTAGAACAGATGTCCCACTTATATCTTAGTATGCTGGTCCTACTTTGGTACCTAGAGTATTAGCTTGAAAACTTTAACCTGGAAGGAGAAAAGGGAAATTAACACTGCCATTCTGCTCAAAGTAATTAAAAGCAATATTTTCTTTTTTTCCTCAAGTGCTACTCCCAAGTACAGGTGAGTTTCAAAACAGATTTCCAAATTTGTCGATAAAAAAATCACTTGGTGCTTGCTTTTTAATTGTTAGGCTTTTTGGCTAATTTCCAGCATATTGCTCAGGGCATATTATGCCTTAATAAAACAGTGAGTTCATATAAGAAAAGCAGCAGTGGTGTTTGGAGGGTGGAAATTGATTCAAGAAAGTGTTGCTTCTAAGTTTATAGGAGAAAGTTTAGTGTTACACTTATTTGCTTCCACCTACATTTTCAGCAGAAACTCTTTGGAAGCAATTATGATTCATTTTATGAGAAAATGGCACGTTAGCACCTTGTTCCCTAAAGAACAAAGCCTAAACTGAATGAAGTATAGTAGATTTCCTGCTGAATGCATACTTCTTTTTGTTTTGGTTTGGGATTTTTTTCTGTCCTTGTTTGTTTGTTTGGGTTTTGGGGTTTTTTTGTTGGTTTTTTTTGTTGGTTTGTTTTTTTTTTAAATTCAGCTGTCTACCATTTTAACTTTGGCTTGTATGTACTCTAGTTGCCCTGGTATTTCTCTATAGCTTTAGAAATGTATTGAAACTATGCTATAATTGCTGAGGGACAAAAATAAATGGATGTAAAACAAGATCCTCCACACCAGTGTCATTCTTGGAGTACATGTGTTTGAAGTCTAGTGCATAACTTCTTTGCTAAGGGGTTTTTATAACATGGCTGTAAAAACCTGTTCTGAGACGCATGATGTCTTGACCATAGAGTCAATGTCTCTTTTTAATAAATATATATATATTTAAATCTAAGGATTCTTAAAGAGAAGTCTGAATTTCTTCTTTTTTTTCTTTTTTTTTTCCCAAACTGTGTGTGTACAAATGATGAAAATAATTGCTAGTAAAGTTCTTTTTCAAATTTTTCTTCTCAAACTTTCATGTTCTTTCCTCACCCAGCTGATGTTATCTGAAGTGCTTCCTATTCCTGGGGGTGCAGAATTGCTCCTGCCCCAGGAAGCCAGGCTTCTGGCTTGGGGCTTTGTCATTCCATGGCTTGGCTTGACTTGAAATATCTTTCCAAATACTTACACTACTAGAGTTACAAAAATACATCTTAAGAATGCCAGTTGCATCTGCTCTTCTGGTCCCAGCAGTCGGGTGAGATTTGATGATACCAGTTTTCTACTGTATGGTTTAAGAAGATGGGAGTCAAGGCTTGAAGTAGTGGAAATGGAGGAGTTTTGAAATGCTTCCTCCTGCCAAAAAATTGTGCAAGACCATCCTTCCTCCCTTGGTCCCCAAGGGACTGAGTAGTGACTTCTGTGCAATTGTGGAATATCCTTATTTATGTGCAAGGAAAATGAAGGAGCTGGGTGTTTGTGACTGGTCAGGTCGTTCATATTCTTACTGAGAAAGCTTTATACTTTTTTTTTGTTGCATTGATTGCCTCGATGAAAATGCTAATTATAATGAGTATTGTAATTTCAACAAATTGTCTTGGAATGTATGTGGGTTTAAAATGTGTGATTTCAAACTGATTTTCCTATTTTTTGGGTTGCTGTGGTTCTTTTGAAGCAGAATGTTATTATTGCTATGAACAAGGTAACTTCTGTTGTGCTGAAACAATGTCATATTTTTTGGTAAAACTTAGACTGGAATCTAATTTTGCCTGACTAGTGGCTCTAGAGATTTACTTTATGTTTATTTACTTAAACCAAGCCAACAGTCTTCCTTGTTTAATAATATAACTTGGCTGTACAAAAATCCTTTCAAATTTCATGCCTACCTTGGTAATATCTAAACTTCATTTCAAACTCCAAATCACAGTGTCTAACTTCAAGTACTCCTCTTTTGTATCTGGTCCTGATATATTCATGTAGAGACTTTGCCTTCAGGCAAGGAAGCAAGGCAAGAAAAGCGAAAGGCAAGCTGGGTGAGGAAAGTGGAGCCTAGGCTTTGGCTTCTGCTGGAGTGCCATCACCTTCCTGCTTGTGTACACAATCCCTGGATACAAATCAAGTCTTCATATATGAACTTCTGACATACCTAAAAACTCCTGTTGGTTGTATTAGATGCAAATGTTGCATATGTGAGTATTTTATGCCTTTATTATGATGTTGTCTGTGTTTTAAGAATGTTTTTTGTTACATACTACTGTTTGAAACAGCTAACCCTTAACTTCACTTGCAGATGATTAGATGAAGGTAAAAGGTTTTCATCTGTTTTGATTGGGTTTTTCGAAATTGTAAGTCTTTCTATATTGTCTTTTAAAAAAAAAATCTAGAATAATACACATTCCAGTCTAAAGGTGTAATGCTGGGTAATGGTTTCCTGTGAATTTGGTCTTTGTGCTATTTGTATAGTGAAAGAGTAGTAAAAGGTCATCATTGGTGATACTGGACTCCTTTCAGTGTTCATTTGTTTTAAGAAACTGAGATAACGTGTTTTCCATAATGATGTAGCTTAGTTGAAAGCATCCTGATTCTAGCTTATGACAATTTTTTTTTTTTACCATGCTCAGGTCGCTGAGATACAATAAAACAGGTACTTTGGTTCCTGAAGTAAGCAGCAAGTAAAGAATGGTATATTGTTTATAATATACTGTAGACAGTGGGGGTAATTTCTTCTCCTTACAAATCTGGGGTCTTCAGATAATTGGCAATGAATAGAAACTATTGGCATTGCAAGGAGTCCAGCAGGGCAGAGGCAAGCAGGCCAGGCAGCCTCCTGTTACTCTAAGAAATGAATGTAAGAGGTCTTACTACAAAGTACGAGGTTACTGACTGACTTTGCATCAGCTTGCCCTAGGGAGAGCCAGTGTGTTGGGGAGCTTCTAAGGCCTGTTGCTTGTTACAGGACTGTTAGGGAAGACGCAGCAGCATCATTCATGATACGTTTACTGAGACAGCTGTTGAGATCATTCTGAAGTGGGAGCACTGCCTATTGGGAAGATCAGAGGAGGGTTAGCAATGGGATCAAAATGGCAGTTATACCTAAACAGATGAGTGACCAAAATATTGACCTGTGAATAAAGTACAGGGATAGGAATATGTAAGCTTGTCCTGTATTACTGAGTACGCTTTCTATATGAAAGAAAGAGACTTGGACTCAGAATGCCCCTTTTTAAGGATATCAATACTGTTATCTGATGAAGGTGATATAAAACTTCAGTTAATGCGTTTAGAATGTTTTGAAGTCTTGAGGAGGGTTACAGGTATTATTTATACACCTTTGCCCTCAGTCTTTGCTGTAGGAAGGCATGTTTACCCAGAACAGGAACAGGATATCAAGATACTAGGTGAAACGGGACATAAATATTTGCCGTTAGAAAGTCCCAAACAAGATACATGGAATGTTAGTTCTCAAAAATATGATGAATTTAGATAAGTAGCAGAGACATTATTCAATTACGTTCAGTTAAAAGGGGTGGGGGAATGGGTGGAAGGTGTTCTTACTTTTCTTTTTTTTTTTTTTTTTTTTTTACCTAACAGAATTCTGATTTTAGAACAGCAAGTACAGGGAAACATTACTGGTGGTGTATGCATTTTTATCACCAAGCAGGTAAATATTCCAGGAGTTAGGATTCTTAGGATAGTTCTTGAGGCCATGTATATGATAACCTGCATTACAAGAGTGCTGGAGATGGAATGTTTTGAGTCAAGCCATGCTACCTTCTGAGATCTTTTCCAGCACCACAGTTGATACTGTTGGTATGAAAGTATTTGATAGCTACTCTTTAAAAAGACCATAGTGACTAGAGATTTATTTTTAGATACAGTCCAAACTAGACTTTGTCTCCTTAAGTTCACACCTTAGTTTCTAAAAAACAGAGAGAGAAAATAAAATACCTATGGATCTATTGGTAAGGTAAATCGTTCTTGCTGAGTAGCTCTATTAGCTGCAAGAAATTACTTGCTAGCCTATATTGGAGTAGTTATCTCTATGAAACTTGGTATGTAGACCCTGAATATTTTAAATTAATTTGATGACACAAAAACCATGACCCCAAAAAGGGTCATCTTCTGTTCAAAGAAAGCTAAAACCATCCATCCTCACTGGAAAAGAACCATTTCAAACCAGTAAATTAAGTCCTGTATAGACAGGGCCTTTACAGAAGAAGAACGACAGAAAAAAGAAACAGACCACCAACCTTTAGGACCTAAAGGAAGAAACTGCTTTTTTCTACCCCTTTGGAGCAACACTGTCATAGGTTTAAAGTGCTCCCTTTCTGTCTTTAAAAAAATATAATTTAATTATGTGAGGCACTGTTTCCACTGGAGTGCAGAGCCATGCTCCTTCCAAAAACCACCAATGAAACCAAGTCCAAAATTGATGAAAGAAACATTTTTCAGGAATGAATCATTAGGCCACTCACGAAATCCCACATTGGAGTTCAGGAGCCTGTGAAAGCAAATTTACCAGATATGGCACCTCTGAGGAGACTGGATAGCTAATATTTTCCATCTTGGTAATCAATCAAAATGGCAAAAATTGTGGACTGATACTCAGAATACAGGAAGGAACATGACTTTATTTGATTTTTTCCTCTGGTGCTATTTTTGCATATACATATGTTTTTGCTTTCTAATAAATATCCAGGAAAATAAAACAGTGGAGTGAGAATATTTCCAACATTTCTCTGAATCCTTTCTCCTGGATGTTTTTATACAGGTATATTTGAAATCTGTTATTTTATTCTGATGTTTAACAACTTTGTGAGTTAATGCTTACATGGAGAAACAGTGTCAAATGTGTACTAAATTAGATAACAAGTTTTGTAAAGGACTCATTTTGGCCTCATTCTGTTCTCATCATGATCTATGAGAGGGAAGTTAAACTATGCAATGCACTTATAAAATTCCCCTATAAATGTTGCTAATGATAAGAGAAATACATTTGATTCTTCCATACAGCATCCACCTGGAATCCACATGAAATGGTGTGTAATAAAGGGACAAGAAAGTGATTGTGTTCACATGAAATAAGAGACTGAAGACCCGCAGGACTACACTAGCAAAATGGACAGGAGCACTTTCATGTGTTGCTGTCATGAATGACAAAATGAAATGCCACTGGAAACTTAGCCTCATTATTATATATGTGAGAGTTTATACCCTGGAGGTTCACACCAGTCCTGGCTTTCCTCTACCTCCATCACATGGAGTCTGTCTAATACTTAACATTGAAGTGATGATGCAGAAATGTATTCAAAACCCCATCTGGATAAGTTGTCAGAAAAGTTTACTATTTTCAATGTAAAACCAGTATTTTTTAGTCATCACTGATGTCCACTGAAAGCTGTGTTATGTGGTGAATTTTTTGCCTTTGTGTTGCCTGCACAGAAAATTGTCATTTCAAGATCGTGATGTTTTTGATGTTATCATAAATTTGGCCAAAGGGGAGAAAGAAGGAGAAAATATCTTTCAAGTGATGTTAGAATAGGACCATCAGCTTTAACAAGCAAAGAGATTCAAAGCCAACTGTTCTCTATTTAAATTGCAGTGCAAATCTAATCTAATCTAAAGAGGCTTTAGGGCCTTGATTTGCACATTGTTTTTGTTATTGCATACATGTTATGATAGTCATTATTTTAATAATCTGTGGATATGCAGAAGTAGAAACAAAATAGTGTTTCTGATGT